GTCTATCCAGACAAACGGCAAGAGTCAGAGAACACAGTGTAATCTCTGGCACTAGAGATTTCCTGTGTAATTCTCCATCAAACAGATGTGAGGATAGAGAGAGCATCTCTAGAGCCTAACTGTCTCTCCAAGAAGAAATTGCGGGCTTGCATGTCAATGACATGTACTGCCTGTGTTTCATGATGTGGGATCTGGGATCTGATTGTTGTGACTTAAAAGAATGCCAAACTCTACATTAGAATCCAAAGAGTTATGTGCTATAAAAGAAAGAAATGAATAATCAAGACAACATGCAAAGGTCACTAGTTGTGGAGGAGGGGTACAGAAAACTGGAATTTGTTATAGTTCCATCCTGAGGGCTAAAAAGGGGAGAAGGTGCAGTTTATAGTTCAATTACCTTTCTGTCCTTCTACATTAATATTCTGTATTTTGTTCTTTATATTGGCCAGCAACTAGGATTAGATTACAGATTTTGTATAGGTAGAAGACTGCCTCCCCAACAGGACTTGCAAAAGATCTAAAAGAGATTCTGAAAAAAAAAGTTTTTGTATGTGAGTAAAGGGAGCAAGGAGTGAGCGTATTCAGGGATTTGTTTCATACTTCTTGAATTGTACACCCCCTAAATAAATCAAGAAAAGGAATCCCATGGTAAAGCTCTAACTTTTCCTTATTAGATGTCACAGCAAAATACAGTGGTCAGAAAACATTTTATGATGTCTTCCTATCAGATAAATGATTACATGAGCCTATGGAATATCCAGCTGGTGCCATGGTTCTTCCTTTCTTGCTGTGTCACAAAGGTTAGTATTTGATAGGTAGGCTCGACTGAATTTAATATTTAAGAATAAGTTGAGTAAAGGAAATATTAAAAATTTGGGCCACTTAGTACAAAACATCTTTTTCTGACATAGTCATCTTGTACCATTCTATCTTTTTGCTTCAAAATTGCTGAGCATATGCATATTTATGTACTGTAGGTACAACATTCTGGTCTGGTGTGCTAAACTGTATAAGAACTGCCAGTCAGGTCTAGCAGCAAAATTTTCCCAGTGCCTTTGAAACATTTGTCTTCTGGAAAATCAGGTTGGTATTCTCAGCTAAGAGAGATTTGAAAAAAAAATACTATTAGTCACAGACACAAATTTTCACAATGACTGGAACAATACAAAACCCAGAATATTAACTGTTATTATTCCTCATTTACCTCATGCATGTTCTGCCTTAGCATGCACTGCTTGTTGATATTCTGGCATGAATAGGTATCACTGGCACTTAATGGTCCTAAGAAGTGAGGCACATGTGCTACAGCAAAGTAGCTAATTTTCACAGTGAAAACTGTTATAAAGAAATATGTCCCCCTGTATATGTTTTATATACACACATATAATAATTTATCAATATGTATGCTTGTGAGTAAATATCCATTTATTTGTCTACTGCATGTAGATAAAAAAAAACACTTAAGCAAAAAAACTTTGAGCAAAAAAATTTTGTGGACTTGGGTTGAAATCATAAAAAATAAAATGTTTTTCTCAGTTATAAATAGAAAAAAAGCTAACAGTGGTAGTTTTGTATAGTTGTTCCTTGAGATTTGGGACTGAGTGCATAAAGAGACAAAATGTAAGAATTAAAAGATAGGATTTGCTGACAGCTCTAGGTAACTTGAGAGCACTCTTTTGCTGTCTTCATGTTCAGAGGCCTGTCAGAACATAAATGTTATGTTTTGTCCCCTTTTCAGTTTTAATAATAACTCTTATTCTTTAAATTATTTCTGTAATTTTGATTGAATATTTTGTGCTTTCTTTCCTGTCCTGAATTTTCTGCTCCTGAACACTAAGACAGTCACGTGTCAGTGGCAGAAAAGGTGTTACTTGCTGCTTGCATGCAATTTTGGCCTTGTAATCTGCCTAAATAAGCTATGTTAAATAGCACAGTAATAGAAACTGAAGGTGAAAGTACTAGTAGCCTAGGAATAGCAGACTATATTACTAAGAGATAATTTGAAGAAACTTGAGAGAGAAAGGTACAGAAAATGACATCCTGTTTAAAAATGCCTGCTAATATCATCAAAATAACAAGTAGGATAGAGTGATACAAGTTCCTGACGATCTGGTAAACTTTGTTTAGATCAGGTGATTGGAATGAGGCAATAATATCTAATCTTATTGCCCCATAGTCAGTGCTACAACATTTACAGTAAAAGCAAAGTAAATACAAGGCCATGAACCCAAACTTGCTGAAAGGAATCAGAGGAATGGTGAGTCACTGGCCATGGCGCTAATTTTGGCATCAACAGAGATTTGGAATTAAATACAATGAATTACAGATTTAGTAAAAAATTGCCCCTTCACTACACAAAAAGATTTGTCATCACTTACCCAGATTTCACATTATGCATCCAATCCACGGAAAAGCAGTACTTCAGAGAATAATGACCCCACGAGTTATTTTTAGGATGTACACAGAGAGGAATTAGATTGGAGAGCAGAAGATTAAGCTGGCATTGCTTTCCATCAACACGCACCATTCATTTCTGGACATCTTTGAAAAGCATCAAGAAAGTGAGGGAGTTCAAATAAGCAGAAATAAGATTAAAAGGAAGAAGGCTTGCTTAGTAAAGCAAAATCTTGAATAAATGAATGCATACAGCCTGGCTAAAGGGGAAAGGAAGGATCTACAGCTCTGTGAAGAGGATAAAAACCTTGGCAGTAGTGAATGACGCATGATATTTCAACTGAATATAAATATTCACTTTTGAAGAAAGTTAGGTGTCTCTCCAGGGCTTCTAACAATTAACTGGCTTTTACATGTGTCTCATTGAAGAACTAAAGCAATCTTCTATTGAGAGCAGACAGATGACCTAAGAGGTCTCTTCTGTTACCATCTATCTCTGTGATTCTGCTGCATATATCATATAATTTCTTTCTTGATATTCCAAAATGCTGCATATATTAGAATTGCTCCACTGTTACTTAATGTTTATTATGTATCCTTAGTCTTTCTCCACCAGACTTGGTGGTGGTGATTTACATTTTTATTTATGCATTCATCTGTATGTTTCTGGTTTTTCCTTGCAAATAGTCCTTTTTTACATATTAATGTGTCAGTAAGTTGAATAATGTAACATTTCAAAATCTGAGGTGAATAAAGAAATCATAAAACTATTGACATATTGACACATGAGATTGACAGTGTAAGTGAACGGAAGAGATTTCCATTCACTTCACTGATTCAAGACAGATTTAGACCAAAAGTTCAGTACAGATACTCCCCTTTCTTTGAAATACAGAAATTCTTGAATTCCAATTTAGGAATGAAATAGACTCTATTCAATTTCATTACTATGGTCAGCTCTGAAAAAGTGCCTTTTTTTTTTTTTCCTCATTTGAATCCTCCCTTGTATTTGCATAGGGATCCAGTTCAGCAGAGATCTGATGAAATTTAGTCAGGCTGTCATATATTTTGGATTTCCTGAGGACTCCAGAAGTGCTCTGCTCCCTTTTTCCTTCATGGTGCTCAGAACAGGTGGCATCCCCCAGGGTCACCAAGTATATTTAGGGCTGAAACCCGAGCGTGCTGGAGCCAGATTGGCTGCGCTGGCCTCCTGCGTAATCAGGAGCCGATGCTTCAGGCTCGCTCGCACCCAGCACTGCTCAGGAGGGCAGACTGGAGAGGCTTTGCTCCTCAGGATATTTACTAGATGTTGCTGGTAAGATTATTTCATTATATTTGGCTTTTTTGGCTTTTTTTTTCTTTTTTTCTCTTCAGAATAGGATCTGGAGCTATTTCCTTATTCTGTAGTTTTTCAAAAAGATGAGTTGCTCCTTGTCTACAGAGGTCAGATGTTCTTCTGACTGGATAGTTGACTAGTTGTAAGTAAACGGAAAGGATTGGAAGTGTATTGTGGAAGTACAACTGCAGTTTCTGATAATGACAGATTCTATTAGAGAAGTTCCTTATGTGCAAGTCCTTACTTATGGGATTTGTGCATAAATGCTGGCCTACTTTTTCATCAAACTCACTGTTAATTGAGTTAGTATTTATTTATTCTTACAGTCTCTGTAAAACTATAAAAAGACAGTTTTTGTAAACAAGTAATTCTCGTTTAACAAAACAGTTTCTTGTAATTTTTCTCAGCACATTGGCACTAAGAAGGGACAGTATTTTCTGTTCCTATATTTAACCTGCATTAGTAGACTTCACTTGCCTCAGAAGGAATTGCAGTTTAGCCAGCTAAACAAAACCACCCAGTCATTTGGTAGTATTAACTTACATGGCAAATATCTTTGGACTCAGGAACAGCTGTTCCAAAACCTCATCCCCTACCAACATTAGAAACAGGCTGTATTCTCTGGTGGAAAATTATGACTCTGCCTCCCAGCAAAATTGCTGAAATAATTTGTTTAAAGGTTTTGATAGTAATCTGTCCTTTGTAGTTCAGCCAAAGTGTATGGACTTTCGTATTCTCCAGATCTGAAGAAATACACATAAAAAAAGCCACAAGAGCTAAAATAAAGCCCCAGAGCACCTGTACAGGCTAATGCCGGGAAGACAAGAACTGCCTCATTAACCTAAGGTCACTTAAAAGAAAAAAAACAGCATTCTTTCCCCTACCTTATGTTTTTCATGTGGGAGTGGATACAGTAGAATATACAGCTGAAATTCCCCTTCTAACAGGAGTTTTAACATGTAATAAAGTAGTATAGAATAGTGCCAGAGGAAGGAAAATTCTTCAAATAACTTTGTTACAATTAAATCAAACCATACTTCCTCAGATTTTTTTTTAATTTCTTGCATGTAGTTATCTCAGGTGTTCAAGTTTTGCTACTGATTAGCCAATAAAATAATGTAACAATGTTGCTATTACTAACTGTGACCCAAACACACTTAAACTTGACTAGTTGCTTTCGGTTATACCTTCAGTCTTGGGCTAATACTATGTATTCACACTTTCCTCTGTTACATGACCAGTGAGCGGGTGAGAGGCAGAATACTCCAAAATGGAGGAAGAGGAATATGAGGAAGTTGTGGAGGTAAGAAGAAAATCTGAGATTAGAAATATTTGCTTACTGCCTTGTGAACATATTAATTACTTTAAAGAGATGTTGCGAATGAACAGACATGGTTTCTTGCTCTTTGGTCTCTGAAATTCAGGATATGTTTAGGTATTCATTATTTTCTGATCAGTTAAAAACATATACTAAAAACATATATATACATCTGCTATTAGACCAGCAAAACCTCTTTGCTTCCTGTCATAGTCTCTCTGTTTAAATAAGGATGGTTACCACTCCATAACTCACTGCAAGGTTTTGTGGTTACGTCTCTGCTTAATTATAGCCATGAAGTGGCCATCTCTTTTCCCTCTTGGCTTGACCTCTGTCACCAAATCCATGCTAGAGTAGGACTTTGAATGCCACTTTTTAGGCTACCCTCTGTGCTCATTGCAATGCAGAAATATAGCAGTTTTGTGCCACCAATGGACAGTCAAGCAATACTGTATTTAGCCTTAGAAATTGCAAAGATGGGTCTGGATTTAAACCTGCAGATGTCAATGGTGTTTCATCAGGGATTAGTTTGACTGCAGGTCATTTAAGCTCACAGTTCTATGCCTAATTATGTAGTCTCTGCAATTTGATTAAATGAATCCTCAAGAACTAGGGAAAATATAAGTTACTGTTATGAGCAAGTGCCATTAGAATAACTTTGCTATTAAAGGAGTATACCGGGTTAATAGGCAATATAGTCTTGTTACCTTATGATTATTTTGAAATAATACATTACAAAATACATACACAATTATAATGAATTGCTTGGTACTTGTTTGAGCAAAAAAGAAGAGAGTACAAATGTTTACATTGTCTTATAACTCTTATCTCCATAATAAATTAAATGCAATATGGATTTTAGGCAGTATTACAGCATTGGACTGTGCATATTGACTCTGAATTTCAACCAACCAAGAAAGCAAAGTCAAATGGCTTGATATGAAATTAGTTAAATGTGTTTGAGGAAATAAATGTTACTGTTCATAAAGTCTACTTTAATAGGCACTATGTAACCAAGCTACAAGGGCACTAGTTCTTCATTAAGTTTCCTATTACATATTATTTGTAACTGTCATTACACTTCCTGAACATTTTTTGCCTTAATGGTGTAACAAAATGTATTATTACATTCAGACCAACTTCCATAATTATGTTTTATCTAATTATAATTTCTTTTACTTGCTGTCAATGTTTATTTGATGTGTGAATAACGTTGTTTTTTTTTTTTGTCTACACATTTTTTTTAAAATTTTGATTGCATACTTTCCTGTAACTGGATTCCTAAGACTGGCCGAGATGGTTCTGCTATAGTGGTTCCTCTTTAGATATTCATAGTGAAACTTTAAAATAAGATCAAAAGCTTTTGGTGCAATTTTAAAGTGGCTTAGCCTTTTCCAGAGTTGTTTAAACTAGAACTCCACTTTTAAATGAGCTGCATATTTTGAATAATTATATATATAACTAACTTGTCAGAAATTCATTTTCAGAAAGAACAGAAAACTATTACTGAATGGCTGAAAAAATGCCGCTTTGTTTAAGATGCTATATTTTTCTTTCTCTGGAGGTATTAAGACTGCACTGATATTGCAGCTGTTTGATGTGCAAGAAGTAGAATGACTCACATAAATGTTTTCCTGCAGACTCAGGAGATCTCTCATTTTTGGAGATTTTGGGAGAGGGAGTCCGGATGGACCATGGGGCAAAAACTGTCCCAGAACATAGTCAAAATTAGATTCTTCAAAAAGCATAATCTGCACCTGTGAATGTAGCTCTGATGAACAGTTCTGATGGGAGACAGGAAAAGTCTGAGTTTTAATTACAATTCTATTAAGGCTTGATTTGGAGGGCTTTTGTTTTACACAGTTTTCATGTACCGCCCGCAGCAAATCACTGCAGAGGAGAACGTCAAAGCCGACTGTTTTATTTTTTCTCCTTTCTGGAAGCCAATGGAAGTTAGGTACCTTTTAAAAATGTCCTCTTTTTAATTTCCTCTCTGGCTTCAGGATAGACAAGGCAGCACCCCAGCACGCTAGACAAACTCTGGAGAGGCCAACTGGGGGAAAGACAGCTTTCCATCATTTTTTCTTTCCGCTTTCCATCCTTTTTTCTTTCGGTTTTCATTCCTTTTTCTTTCACAGCGCCAGGAGGGAGAGGTGCCAACCACCTCGGTGCAGATAATTTAAGCTTTCCAACAGCCGCTTTGCGTTTCTAAGTTAACTTCAAGGGTTCCTCAGCCTGTGGAGAGCTGAAAGCCTCGGGGCTGCGAAGCCGCGGGGAAGGCGGCGCCGCCGCGAGCTCGTTACCTCAGCGCGGGCGGGAAACGCCGTCGCCGTGAGGGGAGGCCGCATGGCTGGGAGGATCAGCGGGAGACTTGAGACCCGGCGCGGCCGCTCTCGGCGCCGAAGGGTTCCTCTAGCTGCGTTTCAGGTTGCCGAATGGCTCGACACGTTGAAGAGCGCCTCCGCGCCCGGCCAGACCGGGCTTCTTGGGGGGCGGCTGGGGCGACCACCACATCGCGGGCGCCTCCACACGACCGCCATTTATTGCGCGGGCAGCGCGGCTTTGTGGCGCCTTTCGCGAGATGGCGGGCGTCGGCGCCCCCGCGCGGCCGCCATTTGCTGCGCTCTGGGCGAGGCGCTGAGGCGGCGGGGCTGGAGGAAGGTCTGAAACTTTTTCCCATCTGAGAAAACGAAGAAATGGTCAGATTTCCTCTTTGGGGGAAAACGAGCAATCCGCACCACACAAAGGCAACGGAGAGAGTGGTGGAGAAGAGTCTCCGAGGCTGGTGATGGAAAAGGATGGAGGCTGCTGCTCCACTTACAGATCTGCGGCGTCAGAGAAGTTGCAGTGCCCACAGTGGCAATTTTTCAGGCAGCGGGAGGAAACGTTGCCCTTGCAATTTCCAGAGTTTGTTGAAGACAATTTCATGCAGTCATTGATGAGCAGATCATGTTCTGTTGGACTTGATGCTCACAAACAAGGGAGAGCTGGTGGAAGGCAGAAGGCTTCCTTGGCTGCAGTGACCAAAAGATCATGGAGTGGAAGATCTTGAGAACAGAGAGCAAGATAAAACGTCAGAATTACAATCTTGGGCTTCAGAAGAGCAAATTTTGGTCTGTTTGGCACCCAGTTAGCAAGATTCCCTGAGAAATTGCCCTGGAGAGTTAGGTGGTCTTCAAGGACAACATCCTAGAGCCAGAGAGCGGTTGGTCCAGCCTGATGTGTGACCAATGCACGACAGCAGAAAGCCAGCATGGATGAAGCTCCTGACTGAGCTCAGGCAGTAAAAAAAATGAATATATGGAAAGGAATAGGACATCTGAGGAGAGGACTCCTCATGATATGCGAAGATTGGCTTTGCCCATCTTTAAGAAAGGAAGGCTAAGAGGAGATTTTATTGCTGTCTGCAATTACCTCATCAGAGCACAGAGAGAAGATGGAGTAAATCAGATGCTACAATTCTGGTTAGCTACTTCAATTACATGTTAGAAAAACATTTTTTTTTCTACCATGAGTGTGTTCAAATGTGGGCACAATATAATGGTCTAAAATGAAACATAAGTAAATGTTTTGATAAAATCAGAAGAAGATAAATGTTGTTTTTAGATATACGAGTACTATAATTAAGGCACAGGAACAACATACTCTATTGTTGAGCTCTCATCAGGTGTATCAAGCCCAGTTTTGGGGACCAAAGATTAATTATTTGAAGAATATGGGAGAAAGTGTAAGCAATAATAGAATTAGAAAATAAAACCTATGAGGAAAGATTTTAAGATTTGAGTTTAGGCTGAAAAAAATATTTGTGTCAGATTGTAATAGTAATATTGAAATGTCACTTTGGCATTAATAAAATTCTCATTTATATAGATGGTTCAGTGCTTCAGCTGATTCTTACAGAGTAACAAATTGATCAGAAGGTTTTAAGACAGAGTTGGACAATTTCATCTCAGGGTGAATAGGCTAGATACATTTTATCATGTATCAGAGCAGAAATTTGAATTAGACGATCATTTTAGTGCTGCATTTTTGTCATTTCTAACTAGTAGACAAAAGTATAAGACTGGGTCTTCAGATAAGAGACAGAATTCGCATGCAGAAAAAAAAAGATAAGCTTTGATTCTCATGATTACCTATTTACTTATTAAACATTCAAAGATACGCAGTAACATCAAATAGTGTATCCTGAAAAAATCGGAAATACTTGAAGTGTTTCCACCAAAAGGAAACATATAAACAAACACTAAATCCTTCTTTCTGTTTACTTAATAAAAAATATAATTGAAAACAAATCACTATCACCTCCTGGCTATGACTGACCTAATTTAGGTCACATTTAGGGTTTACATCATTTAGGGCAGGGCAGCCTTAGAGAGAGAAACCTGCTCCAACATATTATGAGAAACTTGGAAATCCTTTTTTTTTTTTTTTTAAGGCTGATTCTTTTTTTTTAAATGTAGTTGTCATTTAGTCTTCATTCTAGGGGGAAAAATAGATAATGATGCTTTATTATTTGCTTGTCAGGAAGATTGTGAAATTATTATCTTAGAAATGAACAGATCTTCAAATTACTGAAGCGGCAAATGAGACTGCATAACCATCTATGATCTACAATCCTCTTAAGAAATGTGTTCTTAAAAATCTTACACTTCTAAGAGGAGATGTTACATTTTGCTGTCCTTGTATGATCTGGCCTAACAGTTATTTTATTTCCCTCTTTTTCCCCCTTTTTTTTTTCTTTCTTTGTTTCTTTCTTTATTTTTTTTTAAGTACTACATTGAGGAGACAGTTATTGAGGAGGGTGAACCATATGAGGTAAAGGTATCTGTGAAGTTGCTAGTGGTTTATATGTGCATGCAATTAATGAATAATGCTAAACTTTTTTTTTTTTTTCATTCGGAGGACTAATTTTTCGTGTTAAACACAAAAATATCAGTGAACAGTTGCTTCTTAAAGAATTTAATGCCTATGCTAGGTCTTGCTGTGGGATGATCTAGAGGACTTGTAGCTTGTTCTGGATATCTGTCCTGTCTCTTTCCTGGATATTTGTGTTGGGATTGGACCCAATTCCTAATTTTTTAATGTATTAAAATATAAATTGATGAATACCCTTTGAGCAAGTAATCTAGGACTACACTTTCAAGAAAAGTTGTTGTATTTATTTTTAAGACACAGTCAACCACTGAGTTCATCAGGTATTTTGTGTTTAAAATCTATAGCCAGGCTGTATTTGAGCAATAGGATGAATGATTATTTATATATCTGATTTCCATCAGTTTTAGAAAGTAACGTTGTAGAATGAGGAATGTCTTTCTAGCTAATGTGATTAGGCTTTTTCCCATCAACTGTAACTGTGAACCTGAGAGTTTTCATATGAAAAGAAATGGATATATTTTTGTAGAATCAAGGCACATTTTTGTTCATTTTCTTTGAAGAAGCCAAGTTTAGGAATTTATTAGAACTTTTCCTTAGAACATGTAACTTCACCATTCTTTTATAAAGCAAACAGTGGATAGTACTTTTCACAATGTTCATCTAGACAAGTTTCAAACTTTCCAGTGCTACTCATGCCAAAACTTAAATGGAAACTTGTGTATTTGAAGTGAAATTAAGACATTAACTTGTGGTGGTGGTGAAGTGACTAATAACATAATGGGATAGCATTACTGAATTGCAACTAATGTCCCCAAAGTAAACAAACCTTTGGGAACTGAAGTGTTGTATGCACCTTCTCAAGTTGGTGTTTGATGTATTTTCTGGTCTGTGCCATACTAATACAAATAACTACCAGAAATCTGAGCTTCACACTTCCCCTTTTAAAGGCCTTTGCTTTTTTTAAGCTAACTGATATGAAATAAACTGATACCTTCTTACTCAGGTAATTCTGGTGTTTTTTGGTTTTAGTAATTATTTTAAAATTATTTAATTAAACTCTTAGTATTAAAATTATTACTTACAGCATGAATATATTGATAAATAGGTATTTAAAATATTTAAATTAAGAGCTTCTTTCCAGTGGATGCATTTCAGCCATTGATTATATATGTATCTCAAATATGTCTCTGCCATGATTGTTTTGATTATCCACATGAAAAAATGTAGCTTAATAGAAAAGGTGCATTCTATACACTTGTTTAGTTTGCTAGTGTAGCATGTACTTATTAAAAGATCACAAGGACTTAGTATTTACATCTTGTACTTTCCTTTTGCAAGAGAGGATATTCTTTTTGAAGCACTATTTTCATACTTAGCCTGTTTGCACAGCTTTCAGTGACATCCTTACATCATTAGGAGCCTTGTCTGTGTGACATGTGTGATTTCCATATCTTCAGCACTGAGGTTTCTAAGTTTTAGCTGCCAGTGCCTCCAGTGGTAGTTGCACATACAGAATGGAGGTGGCAGGAGCTGCTGTCTCCCAGGGCCTCTGGAGAGTAATTACATGAGCTGGATACTGAAGTCAGACAATCAGGTAATTCTTTGTGCTTCTATAGTGTGCCCACTATACATCCCAGTAGGAAAAATGGCACTGTTTGTCTTCATGGTAGGTAGTTACTGGATAAGAGGTAAGAATCCAATTAGAAGTTCAGAAAGAAGTTCAGAAATTCTGACAATAAATTGATGATTTATAAAGGAAATAATTATTCTTCCTTGTTCCTAGGTGATCACTGAGACCACAGAATTCACAGGTCCCCAAACTACTGTATATACAGTTGAGCATGAAGAGCCTTCTGTTCATTATGAAAAATCCTCTGTTGAGCATGGAGCACCTCCAGTCAGAAAGAAGATAATACGGACAAAAGTGGATCCATCTAAGTTTTTGACACCTTACCTCCAACACAGTAACAAAATGAAGGACCTATTCAGTGAGGTACATTGTCTCATCTTCATTTTTTGTTCTTTCATAACGCCAATTTCAAAAGTTTTAACAGGTGTCATTGCAAACCTTCCTACTACTGTGTTTTTTTTCCCCTGTACTTCATTTCATAATGTGTGTTAGTGCTATTTACCCAGAATAGGAACTTCCCTTCCTCGATTCAATCCATCTTTTGTCCATTTTCATCTTAAGTGGCTTATATAATCGTTAAGACACAAATATAGCTTGAGGAGTAGCTTGTTGGAGCTGTCAGTTAACAGAACTCCTGCATTTGATTTGGATAGGCAAGGTAAGGAAGGTACAGGGAATTAAGTTTATTGAACAGCAAACCTCATTGTTTTTATAATAGAGTATTTTTGTATCTATATATCTATCCAAGAAAAATTTGTGGATGCAATATGGGAGGAAGAACCAACATGAAATTCTGTTACAGGATTCCAGAGACCAAAGTAGACCAATATCATACTACGTTGTGAAAAGAGGAAAAAGATTGCTCTGAACAGATGCAGTTGGTGTCAGCTCCCTTCTCCTGAATTTAAATGTCTATTATGCACCTGTATTCTTGGTTAAAATGCTTATGTGTGACCTTGGACTGCTACCCTCACCTTCGTTCTCCCCTTATCTTCTGCTGCTGAAACACCCGGAAATGCATCTATTTAGTTGCAGAGAGAATAAAATCAATTGGAGATTACATAAAACAGGATAAAGATTTAGTTTTTCTCTATTGTGTCAAATAGAAGGAAGCCAGCTGGTTTGAAAAGGATAGCTCTGCAAATTACAGTGGAGTAATGCCAGGTTTTACTATTAAATAATTTGCCAAAATTTTCTACACCTATCAGGTAAATAAATAATTGCTATATAAGTCTCTGACAGAACTTTTGGATATGTCTTACTTTTATATTTGTTCTTATTTCTTTTCAGAATAAATACAAAGAAAAATTTATGAAAGAAAAAGGAAAGCCATATGCTTCCACAATTGATACACCAGAACTTCGTCGAATCAAGAAAGTACAAGACCAGCTCAGTGAAGTAGGTATCAGCTGTGATAGAAAAAAATAGAGTGATAAGGATGCAAGCTGTCATACTTTTAAATATTAAGTAAGATTTTGTTTTAATAATGTTATTGTAAGGCAAAATAGAGTGATAAGGAAACAAGACATCATAATTTTAAATATTAAATAAGATTTTTTTAAAAATAATGTTATCATAAGACAATCTAGGTGTTTAGCAGAAACTTTATCAAGATTGCAAAAATGAGGAGTACAGGTCCTCATTTTAGGTCTAGGATTTTAGGTCTAGGATTTTGATTGGAATTGGACTTCTCTGGAAGGTTCTTGACCAGCTGAACTTTAATACAATCTCCCTGTGGCTAAAGAGGTGTAAAAATGTTCATCAGAAGTTAAACAGAAGAGCATGAGAGACGATGATGATGTCTGTATCCCATTGTGTTTGAATATAGCATGCACTGCATCTTGCAGTCATGACGCATGATCTGTCTGAGGAATTTTTGTTGAAGTTAAGTTAAACTCTGGACTAATAACCATAGAATTTTACCCTAAAAATGTATTTACGCATGGCTTTTATTTCATAGGGCAACTGAAATTCCTAAAGAGATCTTTCAAAAGTGATGCCTACACTGCCTAAGCATTGCAAAATGAAATTCTGTGCGTCTGGTTATTTATTATGGGATATTTTCACCATCTATCCCATCCCTGTGGGATATGTATGGTCTGCCTTCCCCAGCTAACTCAGGTGCATTTGCCACAATGATGCCATGCCTACAGTTCTGGAAACTGACCCTTCCGCTCTCCTCTTTCTTTTAAGCATCTATAGTTTCTCTTTCAACAGTATACTCACAGTTTGGGAAACTGAAATCCGCATAGACTGTCTTCTTTAATTCTTTATACAGTGTAATGGAGAGAGCTAAGTGCCTAAAAATGGGAACCTCTGAAGCCGAGCGGGGAGTCACCTAAGCTAATCAGTGTTCAGGAGATGAGTGTGTATTAAATTCTACCTCTTTCCTGGCTTAAAATGTTTTGAAGTCAGGTTTCGTGTGTTTACTATGTTAGGCATCAAAATAACAACGTTCCACTTTTAAAACATCTGTCAATTTTTGATGCAAAATAATATCTGTTTCTTCATATGCATTGATCTAGGTCAAATACCGCATGGCTGGTGAAGTTGCTAGGACTATTTGCCATGTTGATGAAAAGGCCAAGGATATAGAACATGCAAAGAAGGTCTCACAGCAAGTGAGCAAGGTGAGATGTGACCTTTTGGAAGGATTTTGAACATTAATGGATTATTAAGTTAACAATATGAGTAAGATCTTGAGCTCAGTATGCTAAAACAATGTTTATAGAATAATTTAGGACAGGAAGAGATAGTAGGTTAATCAAAGCAATAGAAATCTCATAATCTTTGATATTGCCTGTTGGTAATCTTAAATGGCACTGGTTTGAGACTTGCATTTCAGAGAAAAGCTTTAGAGATGGCTGTTTGTTAGCAAATGTAGGTATTTTCCTAACAATGGAATAACCAACATGCTGGGTTTTTTTGTCCAGGTGTTATATAAACAGAATTGGGAGGAGAATAAAGACAAGTACCTACTTCCCCCTGATGCTCCAGAACTTGTGAATGCAATAAAAAATACTGCAATGTTCAGTAAGGTAAGGAAAATACAGGTCTAGAGAGCTGAAGTGCAAAAAGCATTTCAAGACAGACCTTATTACATAATGAGTATTCTGGCATTTTTCTGTTCTCCAGAAACTCTACACAGAAGATTGGGAAGGAGACAAAACATTATTCTATCCATACAATGACAGTCCAGAACTCAGGAGGGTGGCCCAGGCGCAAAAGACTCTGAGTGATGTAAGTATCAAAGCCTGATGATGCCATGGATCACATGAGTATTGCAGTGTAACTTGGTAGGCTTCTATATATGCTTATACTAGGCAAAAAATCTTTGTAATGAAGCAGAAGTACATAAATATGCATTTATAGCACTGCTATTTTGAAATTGAGTTAGGAATGAATGAAAAAAAATAATAATGCTCATCTGAGATAATCAATAAGAAGACCTCTAGTATCTCTCAGAAAATGTGAAGAAACTCAAATATTTGGCTGTAAGCCCAGTTCTCTGTTGTAGTTCTGTAAGCCTGTACTTTAAAAGAAGCAGCAAGGAAATTCAGGAATTTGTGAGGCTGCGTAATTTCTGCTTATAATAATAAAAAGTCGAAAGCACTCTTCAACTGAAGGTTTCAGGTGTTACTTAAACGTTTCAATGAATTTTGAAGAAGTCCAGAACTTCATTTGTTCATGAAGTTGGAGCAATGATGTTAATATACTTTTCATAGAGAACTGGCTCTTTTTCAGTGTACCTTACTGAGAGAGTTCTCAGGAGTTCTGCAGAATATATTGAGTTTACCCTGCAGCAGCTATGAACATAACTACTTTTGTTTGTAGTAGCATTAGTAGGATTTTCAGTAAATCAGTGCTGGTGTAAACAGTGACAGTGTAAAAGCTGACTTCTTTCATTTTTTCAGATTGTCTACAAAAAAGGGCACGATGAACGTAAATCTAAATACACTTCTCTGCCAGATCCACCTGATGTGGAACAAGCCAAGAAAGTGACAAGGCAACTCAGTGATGTAAGTAGGATGCAGTGCTCTTCTTTATGTATGAATTTCACATTTGAAGTGAAATTTTGAAGAGGCAAATTGCTACCTAATGAAAGGAACAGCAGAAGAGAAGGCAAATGAAAATTCCTTTGATATTTCAGTGACAAAAGTCAGTATTTACCTTTTCCTTCTTTCTTTCTGAAATGTAGCAGAGAAAAATCCGGCCAGTCTCACGTGAAATGCAAAACTTTTGTTCATATCAGTAAACTTAGGTTTCACAAAATCTTTCTGATTCTCTT